GCTGAAGGTAAGACCTGGATTGTTCCTATCTCCCTGGTTACATTACAAGTGATCCAAGTGAAGTGTCTTTTCTAAGCGCTAAGCTCTGGTTTTTGCAAGCGAAGCATGTGTCAATATGTGACCTTTTCCTCATACATAGTACAGTTTGCTGCAGTGTGCGGCTTTAATCAGGCCTTAGCTTCAGTGGAGACGTGCTCAGCCTGCTGGCTACACATGAGAGCCACAAACGGGCTAAGAGGAAAGTAAGAGAAAGTGAGAGAGGAAGACAAGTAATGGGACAGATGGGGCCGGAGTTGGAAAGAAAGAGTAGTGCATTTAATTCCAATACATGGATTAGTGTATGACCATTTAGTTTCCTAACCGTAATCTCCAACGGAACATGGTATCGGGGAAAACTGCAGTCATTACCGACTAGGCCTCTCACTCTTTCCTTTACAATCCCTTAGCCAACAGCACCTTATCCATTATTAATGCCAACATTATCAATAATGCTTTAGCCTTATTTACAGAATAGTCAATGTGTGGTTTTGAATGTGTCAATTAGGGCCTGCTCTTTGGCTCTTCATCAATCTTACTCTGAACTTCTCTCCATACTTAAGGAGTCTCATTGATAGCTGCAGCTTAAACTTTTCCCATGTAATATGTCTAACAGTTATTTAATTACTGCTAGTAGCTGTTCTTTAGCGCACTGCTAACTGTGTAATCTTTTCAGGGACAGTTCATTCCATTTGTTTGACGTGTACACTTTGTCTGGGGGCGGATGTTTGCCTTGTTCGGAGAGTATTTAGGGAGTTCAGATAACCTTGAATAATCATACTCGCCCCTTATCAAACAAACAGTACTGGGTTTTGTGTGTGGCACGCTTGATTTAGCATTCATCCCGATGTTATAACATTCACTAGGGGGTTGTAAGACATCTGCAGCGGGTGGTGTTCACAGAAAGGGAGAGAAAGTCAAAGAAGCAAGACAATTTTCTGGTTACCAAACAAGGAACATTGCAATCATGCATAAGTAAATATAACAGAAAGTGGGTTAATTTAACAAAACATTTCATATGGTAGCTTTTTTTGTGTGGAACTTCTACTTAAAATGCATGGGACGTTGTTCCACCAGACAGTTTTTGTTGGTTTCTATTCTCTGCTGAGTCAGGGGGTGAAAGGTTTTGTCGTGTGACAGCTAAGCTAAACTGCCTTGTGTTGTGACTGAATGCCATCTGTCCACATTGCCCTTTTAGAGTATTGACTGTGAATCCTAATGAGTACAGTGCTGCCAAAAGAGGAAGGCCTCTCTCCACGCACATCCAAGAGAAAATAGCTGTGGGTAAAATGGATGATCATCTCTGACCGGAGCAATCTCTGGGTCACCGGCAGAAATGGAAGTGGAAATGCAGGATCAGGATGACACTGAAGCTCACCAATTCATAGTATTGCCTTTTAATGGAAAGACAAAAGAATCGCTTTTAATCAAAAACATATATTCATAGCAACTCACCTCACAAAATCCGGGCTTTATTGTGAGGCTTTTCATAATAATTGTTATGATGTAATAAACCATGCCTGACAAAATAGAGTGATCTCAGCTCTGCCAAGACTCAGTGTTTACTTTTAACATCAAGTGACAAAAGAACACACGAGGCTTTGGAGCCTATTGATTAGTCCAGGGTCAAACCTCCTTTGCCGTGAGTTTGCACATGAACACTTAAGGCTGCAATGACAATCAGTTTTATGACAGAGACAACAAGGCATTATTGAGAGAGGAGGGATGGAGCGATGAGGTCGGAGGAACACAACAGAGGAGAAGATAGCAGAGGTGGGAAAGCTATAGCATCGAGAACCATCTTCAGTTTTTTCTCATTTGCTACATGCAACCGCTATTATGTCGGCAGCTATTGTGTCAGGGTTATTGTTATGCTCTCTGTAGATGAGTGAGAGATATGATTTCTAAAGCTTCTCATGGCTGAAGACTGCAGGAAGCGATAAGAGTAAAGAGCTGCAACATTTAACAGAAATGATCATCAGCAGATATTTTTAGACGGAGCACAGGGAGAGGTCTCTCAACAGTTTTGAACGTAGAAAGGAAGCTATTAGAGACTTTGGAGACTGATAACTGTTTTTCCTCCTGCTCCTCCTCTGTCCTCAGGGAAATAGTTTCCAAGACTGACACTCATCTGATTTGAGTCACGTTGTTTGTCACAGGCATCAACTGATAGGAATAAGAATCCATATAAAAAGCCATTAGTTTTCTATTACTGCCAAGCTGGATGGACAGGCACTCAGTGCTCAGTGGAATCACTGTGTTTAAAGTGTCAGGTTGGTTGAAAGAAGTCTACCTCTGTGGGGGCTCCCCTGCCACTTCCCTGGGGGCTGAGTGGCTGAAATGACCATAAAACTCTGTTGAGCTAGACAGCCTGTAATTTCAGCAGCGAGTGGCGCTTTGCCGGGGTATAATGGAAAGCCCATGGAAGCCATGAAATTTGCTGAATCTCAGTCTTGGAACACCATTGTCTGAACACTCAGGACACCTCTCTAAACTTTAAATGACTGTTTTTAAGCCATCATTGTCTGAAAAGGCCGTGCATCTAAAAAAGAAACACAGTGCTGGTTGACTTTCTTTAATCTTCGTGGTCTTTGCCTTTCCGGAAGAAAAAAAATCTGACATTCACAGTCTTTGTTGGCATGAAAGTAAAGGAGCCTTTGCCGATAAGAAATAGAAAAATGGAAAATGTGGCTGCAGAGGTTGCTCCCTCTCAGTGTCTTTTTTTGTATCATCTGTGGCATGATTGTGAGTAGAAGTGCCTTCTTTCACTCAAAACAGGAATGAATGAGGAGGGCTTTGAGTTTGGAGGGCTGCTGTGGAGCGGGATTGGTTTGCGGGCCTATTTGTGTGTGTGTGTGTGTTCCTCTTTGTGGGAATGTTATGTACCGTGTATCATTAGAGTGTGTGCGTGCATCGGTATCCATCTTTGCAGCCATGGAAGAGCAGCCATACGTTTTCTGAAGCGTGGCTCGCGATGTGATGTTAGCAGCATGTCACATCGAGAAGCTCTCCGGCTGATTTGATAGTGGGGCGGATGGAGATGGAGTTGGAGTAATGAAGTGAGTCTGAGTGGGTTTTGCTGCTCGAGGCCCAAGCCCATCACACCACACTCGCTGCATCTCCACTGTGGCGAAAGACTGCGGGAGAGAAACGGAGAGGGAGGGAGACGGAGAGATTGTAACCTTATCACCCCATGTTCCCCTCAGCCAAATCTGCTTGTCTCCGCTGTCTTCACAGAGCTGAGTTACAGAATACATTGGTCTTAAACTTGCTGCAACAACAGAAGAACTCTCTTTCTCTGATAGACAGTGTTACGGCTACATGTACCCTCCTCTCTGAGTTCCCTGAACAACAATGTCCTTACTGCCGAAAGCAATAGATTCAGTGTTTGCAGATAAACACGCGGAAGCTCAGAATCATTACAATGCATCTCATCTAATCCAATTACTTCAGAAATGTAAGAAAAAGGCAGAAAATTATGAATACTGATCAAGTAGCGGTACCGTAGAAGGTACTGTAACAGTAAAAAGTAGCGCAATGCTTATTTAAAGACAAGGCAGTATGTCAATGTGTTTTATTAATGCAAGTAGAGTTGTTATAATTGTTGAATTTTCAGTTATTATCACATCCATTTTGAGACATCGGGATAATGACTTAACTGAAGGAAATTAGCACCAGACTGCACATTTCTGACACCTTGTCTAAACCTTGCACAGCTAGAGATTGGCTAAGAACAAAAGAGATGCACAAGCTGTGTGTGTCTTGTATGGACAGCTGCATTGCTTAAAAGCACATACGTGTACCTGCTGTCAGACAACTGAACACACTGTTAAAACATGTCTGACTCAAGAGCAGATAGGTTGTTAGGTTGTTAGCACTGAAATGTTTTTAATAGTAAAAACGTTGACGTCTGCATGATGGAACTAAACTAGCCTTCTCCTTAATCAAGATACTGTACATATCGTGTAGCGGTATTGAGTGGTTTTTGGTCTTTACTTTCCAAAATAACACAAAGAAGGATTTTTCCAAAATGTTGAACAGTTCCTTTAATTTTGAGGAACAGCAGTCCCACCACCACTGGCTTGAGACACAGTGAAGACTTGAACTCTGGCTGGCGCCTGGATACCGATAAATATCTTAATGGTGTTTCAATGTCAATAATGTTTTTCTAAATCCCCCACATAGCACCCTTTACAAAACAGTACATCACTTCCCTTACAGATCATGTTTCTGTGTTTCCTTGTGTGTTTGTGTTAGTGTGCGTGCGTTCCCAAGAGACAGCCTGAGGAACAATTCAGTACCTTTGAACTTAAGGCTGCAGAAATTGGTCAGACCAGGTCACAGAATAAGTCATGGCAGAGCGAGATACAGAGATAAAGAGGGGAAGAAATGTGCAATGGTTTGTGATTCACTTAGTGGGCAGCTGTGATGTGAACAGTACAGACAGACCAACTTTGCACACGCTACTCCCAATAAACCTACTTAAGTGGATTAGCAATGCTGCCCTGGGGGCCTCCACAGACTTAAGCTCTTATCACAAACACACACCGAAACAAAAACACACTATTTTTATCAGCTCGCTCGGTTTGTGGGGAAAGTGAGCTTGGGAAACAGTGGAGATGTCCAGGATAAGCATGGAGGAAACAGCCAATAGAGGCATATCATATCTTTCTCACCCAAATGAACTGGGTTCGTGTTGAAAATAGTAAAAAGCTTGTTGGAACTGAAGTGTGAGCGAGACCTGGTTTGTAATTCAGGACACCTGTTGTCATGGCCTAGAAACAGATGTTGCATATACTATCCCAGTTTGGCTATTGGCAGATGCTTCAGAGTGAAAACGGTGCCAAAAAACACGGCCCTGTGCTTGGAACTTTTGCATGTGCATTCATCTGTGTTTTGCTTCTTACTAAACCTGTGCCTGCCTTTTTTGATTTTCGGTTCTGTGCTTCATGTTTGTTGTGCAGGTCTAGGCTGGCTGATTACATGGTGAACTGCGCAGTGACTCCGCAGACCGTGAGCACCTGTCCCAACCAAGACAATCACCAAGCCTGTTTGGCCTCCTACGCACGGCTCATCGGTGAGTTTCTTTGAGTGTTTAAGAGAAGAAAATATGGCAGGGGAAATGGTGGGCAAATGTACTTTTAAATCCCACAATAAATTCGTCAAATTCCAGGTATTAGATGAGATAAATATTGATGGTAAAAGACAGGTCGACCTTCACTTTTTCCCCCTCCTGGCCTACATCTCCCAAAGCACACTGGACATCAGCTCGCTACGAGAAGTAATTAGGCAGGAGAGGCACAGAGAGTGTTTACTTAATTAAAACACTTGATGACCATCTGTTTGCTCATATTAAATGTTGCTCAAACAATGTGCTTGGACTAGTACATGCACATATTTCAACGCTGGCCAACGTTTGATAACGGTCCCTTGGCGTCACGGAGCTCGGGAAGATTTTTAAAATGCAAATTTACATAAAAATAACTTTAAAAAAGAAAATACTGCATAGTGGTTGCTGAAGTGTCCATAATTCACAATCAGTCACTGCCTCCCCACCATGTGTCATAACTGGTGCAGTGTGAAGTGTTAATTTGCCATGGCTCTTCCTGGGATTTCTCTAGAAAGATACTACACAAAGTGCATCTAACACTCCTGACTCCTGCTGAAAGCATCGGCACAGGGACACATTTGCTAAGTAAAATGTTTTGGTACTGTGGTGCTATATTCAAACAGCACACACACACACACAAGCACCTACTTTGCAAAAATATTCATAACATAATGGCCTCTTTACATCTAAAATAAAGCATTACAAAATGCCTCACCTTGTCATAAACTCAGATAGTGCAAACCCATGACTAACATCTTGTTATCTGTTTATAGACTATGTGCAATAAATGTAGTCCATTAGTGACCTATAACAGTTTGTCCTGATGTGTGTATGTGTTTGTGTGTGGGTGACCTCACAGGGACAGAAATGACTCCCAACTATGTCGACAGCAGCTTCTCCAACTGGACCGTCTCCCCGTGGTGCAGCTGTAAGGGCAGCGGCAACCAGGAAGAGGAATGCTCCAACTTCCTCCGGGAATTCACGGATAACACATGCCTAAGTAAGCCGTCCCAACCTATGGATACTCTGCATGTGTAATGGGTTCTGTAACTGATAGGGTCCAACAGTCATGTTATATTGATAAGAGCACTAGCTTGTGATGCGGTAGTTACTCTTGCTGCCATGTAAGAGTAGAGTGAGCTATGAACTTCGATCTAATGCAACTTTAATGGCCTCATGGCAGACTCTGTTTTTCAATGTCCTGGAGCTCTGCAGTGATGAAACTCGGGAGGTGATGTTGTTGGGTGGATACTCTTCAAACATCCAGGTATCAAATTGAAGTTAATATAGATTTTTTTTTACTGAAATGAATGAGGAAATACATTATTTACGTAACATAGTTAAACAAAAAAAGAAATCAAACCAGAAGGATTAAGGTACTTATGGATGAATGGATGAAACTCCTTGAAGTCCGTATAAAGTTTGTGTGCTACATTGATCCAACTTAACCACGAACACCCCTTTGCCCGCTGATTAAGATGGAATTAAATGTTCTTCTCAAAAACGAGTCATTTCTTATCACTTCTCATCCCCCCCTTCGGACAAGATCTGCCCAGACTTTAATACAAAGGAAACCATTTGCATGTCATTTTCATATTCAATCTGCGAGAGTTAAAGGGCTTATCCCTTGCGGCGGAAAAATGTCATGAAAAAGGAACGGAACAAGTACAAATGAAATAATAGCAGAAGCTAAAATACATATCATCTGTACATCTTATGCATAACACCCAGGGTGCAGCATGACAGAGTGGTTACGTCCAACACTCTTGTGCTTTCTTCACTGAAAAAAATAAAATACAGAAAGCTATGTCCTTGTTATGGTGGAGCGAGCAGTGTGATCAGCGCTACACGACACCGTTGCCTTTAACATGTTCCATTTTGTGGATAATGCTTTCAGACCATTTCAATAGATTGCTGGTGTACCGTTTTTTAGCTGAGTGTGCAGGATGAGGGATGAGGCTGGGAGCTGAGGAGGCGTCTTGAAAAATAACACAAAATGCAGCATCTCCGCTCTGCAGTCAAGGAGAACAGGCGATACACTTTGACACAACGCTGAGGAGAATATATAAAAAACACTCAATGTGCAGTCATAAACATACATATAAATCTATATATAATATACATTTGAAAAATCACTTTTAGCTCCCAGTTGCCCTCATTGACTAACGTTCACTGTTTCTATCGAGTAAATACCTTATACCTTACATTGATTGACAATCTGAATCACATTGCAATTGAAGGCGTCTGTAAGACAAATCATTTATTATAGACACCTTGTCTCACAGTCTTACCTTAAAAGATCTAGTAAATAAATAAAAAGGATAAGTTGTGAATAGAGGCCAAAATAAAGCAGTCCAACTAAATGAATATCATTATAGATCAAACATGGCCTTCCTCCTCTTGTCTCTGCTTTTCTTGTTCTCTCCTCCCTTTTCTCTTCCTCCATCTGTCCCTGCAGGTAGGGCTATGCATGCTATGCCCAGGGATCAAAGGACAACTTATCAAGTCATTAAAAAATTGAATTGCTATTGGCAATGAGTTTAATCACTCGGTGAAACATTTGAGTGCAGTTAAAGCATCCTGTGTGGAGGCCTTCCAGCTAAGTAGTTTGATTTATGACTTTATTCCTCCATCGCACGGCATCTAGGAGGACAGCGAGCATCACGTGTCTCAGCGGCACTTTGCAGGCTCCTAACTGCTAGCGTTTAAGTTGTTAGGCTTCTCTGGTGAGCTCCGTTCCTTTATGTGATTTTATTTTCCAGCAGCAAATCACCGGTGTCGAACAGAAAGGGAAACATGAAGGGTGCTTTTGTATGTGTTAAGTGTGCAGGGGTATGTGTGTTTGCCTTTGTTTGGGTTCTGCTGTGTAGTACGCGTGCTTGTGTGCAACACTGTGTAGGTGGATGGAGGATGTGACAGACAAATGTGGCCATGCATCGGAGGACTAAGGAATGTTTGTGTCCATCCGATAATCTGTGTTATGTGGTGGCGGGAAAATGCCTCTTTTTTCTGCTTTCTTCGGGAATATTTTCAGTTTGATCAGTCACATGAATCTATTTAAGTCATCTCGGCATGCTGACCTTATAATGGATGTGGTTGCCAAGCAATTACATGCCTTGCCTTCTCTCTGGCTGAACAAAGAGAAACAAGCCTCGTGTTTTAAACGGATGAGCAGTGAAAAGGTACTCAGCCCCTATGTTGCCATATCTAGCTGAAAAGCTGACTGAACAGGGATTTATCACATTTTTGCAGGGACTCACACATGCTCGTAGACACAACATTACACACATACATACAGTACATCTGCAGGCACTCGTATGCATTCACAGGCTGCTGTTCTTTGTTTGAGCTGAATGATTGTCTACTTTTAACAGATTCAATTGCTGAGGGGAAACAAATTGGGGTTCATCATCTCAAGTGCGGACATTATTTCTCTATTTGTTGTTTGTTTGTATTTGATAGACGTCTCTATCATGTCCCTGCAGGATTCATTTATAGAAGCATAATTAGAAGCTAAATTGATAGCATACTATAAACATGTTATGCATTCAAAATGAAAGCGCGACATAGAATATTAAACATGAGGCAGTATGGGGCCGTGCTTCAACTGCAAAGGCACCATCTCCCCTTTTTCAACTTTGATCTTGGCAGCACCCCGAAGCAACTGGTCAGCGGACCTTAGTGACCTTATGGTTGTTAAAGGTCGGAAAGATGGATTGAAGCTCGTCCAATTTAATTGTAGGCTAACAACACATTCTTCAAATCAATTCCAAAACGTCTCTACAGGATAGGGATGGCCGATTGTAAAGGGGGGATAACAACCACGGGATTGCTGATCATGCTCGGAAATCAAAATACAATGCACACGGACATAAAACAACCCCAAAAAACAACGGCTCGACTTCAACAATTTAAAGTACGCTAACAAAAAATTCTTAAGATCAACCCAATACTCAATGATGTAAGGGCTGTACCTAAATTCAAACAACTCGGCAGAATGGTTTTCTTTAAAGGGGACCTATCATGCAAAATGCACTTTTGTACGTCTTTTATACATGAATATGTGTCCCTGGTGTTCCAGGGAACTCACCAAGTGTCAGAAAACACAACCCTCTCTATTTTCCTCCATACCCAAATCTCTAAAAAAGGGGCTGCAACGGATCTGATAAAAACTGATCCAGATTTGAACACTGTCCTGACGGTGCCGCTACGGCTATTGGGCCAACTCCACCAATCAGGAGGAGACAGCCACGGCCATTGCCGTTCGAAAGCGCTGGAGACGTTGTAGTACATATGCCAGGCCTGTAGGTGGTGCTGTTCTCACTGAATCAGCCCTTGCTAAAACAGAGCTAGAAATTGTCAAATTGAGCAAAATGAGGCATGGCTAAAATGCATGATCTGTTTGGTATTTTGAAAAAAAAAAAGTATAAATATGCCTTATATAGGTATGGTCCTACACTATATTATTCAAATATAGCATGATAGGTCCACTTTAAGCAAAAAGGGCTCACCCTGCTAGAAAATAAATAAACAATGCACACGGACCGCAAAACAACTTAAAACAAGGGGCTAGACTTGAAGAATTTACAGATGAGTAAAGGCCCAGAAACACCAAACAGACATTGACGAACTAGTGGCCACCGGGTCGACTGTTATCTAGGACTTTGGATGGTTGCTTTTGAACACAACACAAAGACAACAACAAAGAGCCAGTCAACACGCATGTTCTGCACCAGAAGGTACATGTTGGTTGGTGAACAGACACTCACTGACAGCGCTTCATTGACCGATGGCGGATTATCGGCATGGTGTCTGAGGGCCTGAAAGGTGATTACGGTGAGCAGCTCTATAGAGCCAGCACAGGGAGGAGAGTATTACGAACCTGTGTGTTTCTAGATGAAAACAGAGCTGGCAGACTAGAGTGTTCGGAGGCCTGGCTTCCAAGATAAAGGGCCTTACAGAAGTCAAGTTAGGTTAAGATGAAACATGTATAACGCTTTCAAAATCACTTAATGATTAAAGGGACTTGACCTTAGATAAGAGCCTCAGCTCCACATTTCAAAGATTTTTTTAAACAAATCCCTGATTGCTGTTTTTGATTATCTGAACTCTCGAGTGCACTGATGAAGCAAAAAGGCTGGTTGTCCTTACTCCTGCCTTTTTTCCTTCCCTCTCCACCCCCCCCCCCCCCCCCCCTCGGTTGCCAAAGATTGGGCAGGGGACCAAGAAGTTGGCTTAGAGCTGTCTGTCTGCTCGCTGGCTTGTTGCTGGGACGGCAGGGAAAAACAAATGACTTTATATCTCTGTCCCCGCAGGAAACGCCATCCAGGCCTTCGGCTACGGGTTAGACAACATACAGAACAGGTCTGTCCCCGGCCCCTCTGCGACAACGAAGACGGGTACTGATTGGTCAACAGCCCCCTCAGAACATCCCTTTGTCATCATCCACACGGTAATATGTTAATATTGGTGGTTTCGTTGCTTGTCTTACAACCAGGTTTGGGAGGGTTACTTTACATACGTATTCCTTTTAGGGCTGCTCGATTATGGAAAAAATCATAATCACGATTATTTTGGTCAATAATTGATATCACGATTATTAAATACGATTATTCATTGACTTTGACAGCATCCATTTATTGAACTTTAAAACAAATACAAATAATAATTTGAACAGTATCTTTTTAACTGTTGATTACCCTGAACGTATAATTCAACTGAAAAACCAATACAAAAATAAATAAAATAAATGATACATTTATATTTAAATAAATAATATCAAAATAATAAATACCAATAAACAAGATTAACAAATATTTTGGAGCGCACTTCCACAAGCTACTAAACACATATTAATATGATATGATAAATTAGACCAAAAATAAATTAGATCAAATATGTCACAACCTAGCAAAGCAAAATAATCGTTTTTTTCGATTATGTTGTTTTCGTAATTGTCGCAGGTCAAATCGTAATTGCGATTAAAATACGATTAATTGCACAGCCCTAATTCCTTTACAATTACTACAGTAGTTACACATTATCAAAGTATCACAATATGAAAGTAATGTAACCTGATTACTTTCCCAATACTCTTGGATTACCTCAATATCAAATGTCTATGTGAAAACAATGAAAGTTGAAGTAGCCTTAATGAAAACCAAAAAGAAAATTGAGGCAGTGTGTGTCTTTATTTTAAATGTATTGTTACATTGTAATCCTGCTAGTAATCCATATTTAAAAAAAGGTAACAGTTATCTGATGAAGTGTTTTTTGTAGGGATTACATTTACCCTTTTTTTGTATCCTTATTCTCCCGTTACATGTAGTCCGTTACTCCCCAAGCCTGGTTAAAACACGTGTTTAAAATAACATTTGTTTTATGTACATGTTGTTTTTGCAGCACAAATGTATCTGTTCACTTCCAGCAGTCAACTTCCTTGGCTACATTTGTTATAACTTACTTTTCAGACGATCCACGGTCTTTAACTCTGCTCTCATGAAAGGAGGGTTTTGTGAAGAGGCGAAATCATGACGTTCAACAATGGCCCATTCTCATTCACATCACATCCAATCTCTACGCCTGTTAAAGCAGTTGGTGCATCAGTTCAGACGCTTTATGATAAGACAGTTTAGGCTACACCCTAGATGATGACATACGGTTGAAATGTTATATTTCTCTCTCACACAATGAAATAGCGAAATAAATGAGAAGACAGGTTTTTAATCTGGATTAGAGGTTCTAAAATACTGGCCCAGGGCCCGAGCAGAAGACTGCAGTCAGCTCAGCTATAACTGGGTTCCCCGTCTGGAGCAGAAACACATCACTCTTTGCTGTGCTGCAAGAATGCACATGTGTTTGTCTTTTAATAGAACTGCACTTCATTTTCTTTTTAAATAAATGTGCAAAATGACAGGAGCATTTTGTCTGCCGCCTCACTCTCTGTCTCTCTCGAACAGGACAGGAATATTTCATTTGCACTTTGGGCAAACGAGAGGTTTTCCCCTTCTCTTTTTTTATCTAGCTGAGTTTGATTAGTTTTCACAATGACATATTGCTCTGTTTTACAGATGTATTTTAGATGTGCCCTGCTTGCCTTCTGGTGAAAGACTGATGATGTGTTTCACCTTTGCAGGAGACCCAGTTCCCAAGCACGGCTGAATGACATACTGTAGTATACAATTGCACTTTGAAAACCTTCTGCTGATGTTATTGTTAATGTCATTTTGCAGTCACTATTACAGATATACACAGAATCTAAGCAGCGTGCCGTGTTGCAAATTAGCATGCTGAATGAATGACTCCCATTAAGACATAGCTTTTGAGTCATTCCAGGGGCTTTCACAGCCAATAAATGGTCACACGGCACCCGAGTCATGCAGCATTGTCCTTCACGCAGTAACACTCATTGTCGCGAAGACAGCAAATTAAAAATCTTTAAAATGTTGCGAGGAAGACAATTAATGAACAAGCTCCTCTGATAACAATAACACAGTGTATGTCTGGGAAAGGTGTTGCAGGGAGAGATGGCGGGGAGGTAATGTATAGTAGATATCTGCAGAGGAATGTGTGTGTATGTCAGTATTGATGCACCGCTCTCTGCCTGTCTCAGTGCAGCGTGGTGTTTAATTTATTGTAAAAATGGTAATTAGGAAACAATAAGACGTGTGATTACTCAAGCAGGAAGTTTATAATTAGAGAGGGAGTTTGGTAGGGACATGTTGGGCGGTCCTGCGTTCTCAGACAGCTATGCCTGGCAATTAAAACTTGTCGAACTTCCATGGCAGATAAATGTTCTTGTGGTACGGAGCCCTCTTGGCAGAAGACTGATCGTCCACGGTTGTAAATCTCCCGTTGGCCAGCGTGGGGTCCTCGCTGTACAGAATATGTTAGGATGGTGTTGGATGGATGGACCACCATTACACAAAAGCGTAACCTATAATGTGTTAGAGAAGAGTGAGCGTATAGCAGAATCAGCCGCCTGTGACTAAGTCTTCACGTCAGTCACACTGCTCTCTAATAGAGTGTTTCAGCCCATTTAGATGCATAATTATTCATAAATGTCAGTACCAGTTGTTGTGGGTTTTATCCCCTGCTTAGTGAGTAAACATGTGGGCTGAGGCATGTTCCTTTGAGCATTGTCAGAGTGTAATAATCTTTGTTTATATGGAGAGACATCATTTTCCCCATTTACTAAAACATTTCATGAGGACTATTTTAAATCCCCAGTGATGTCTTTACTATTTTTCTAGGCTTTTATAATCCTTTTTCTAATTGTAAATGTCCTTCTCAAATAAGGAAATGTTTATTATTTGTACTGCTTTTCAAATTTTCATTTTTAAACAGCTAACCTTCCTCTAACCTCATAACCAGTGGGAAGCCGCTGCTGTCTGTGTTCCCACACTGTCACTGTGTTGATTTTCTGCTCAATTGAATACAATTGATTACGGATAGAAACTACAGTACATACCTCAGGGTTACTCCAGCCTGCCTTGGAAGATGCAGCCTTATACAACTGTACATTTGACAATGTGCGGATCGATAATGAAAACACTGTCTACAATAAACGTGTAGTAACCTGTTCAATGATAAATAGCCTCATCAGTATTTCAAATAAATACTGTTTTCCATCCTGTCTTCCTCTCTGCATGTGTGTTAGCATCAGTAAATGACAGCGTGTTTTGACATTGTCTCCGCTTCGTCACGGTGCATGCGTTTGTTTGCGTGGCTGCTGCTTTTTAGGCGTGTGTTTTGGTGTGTGTGCCGTCTCACAAGCCAGAGTCTATGTGTGGATATTGGCTGCAGCCGGAGATCTGGACTCATGTCAACAGGCTGCTGCCACACATCACTGCTCTTGCTAATTAATTGGCTTTTAGTCGCGGATGTGTTTGGTGCATTGTCAAGCTACCCATAGCTTTTTCCCCCCCCTTTTTTGGCAACTGTCATTTAACCATTTTTGTATGAAAGCAAAAGCCCAGGTACTGAGATAACTGCAGCTATTTGGAAGCCCCTCCTTTCCCTTCCCTCACTCTCCATCCTTCTTTCCTTTCCTTTACAGGGGAAATGATATGCTTGTCTTGTTAATAGAATCCAACACCCTTTTCATGTATCATTGTTTGATGTTAATATGTTGCCTTGTTCTGTTGGGAAGATGAAGTGCTGGTAGATAACATCTGAGTAGTGAGTTTCCTGTGTACAAGGAAATGGTGCAAAGTACAATTTCTGCAAAGGTTACATCGGTGAAGATGAGTTGAGGGGGTGATGGAGTAAGAGTGGGAGGAGGAGGAGGAGGAGGAGGAGGGGGAGAACATGTTTCATGTTCCTTATGATGGGCCGCTGTATGGCTGTGCTGCTCTGAAAATGATGCCTCCACAAATTGAGCGAGACTACTTTAACTTCGAGGCAAATGGTTATGCTTTGTGTTACAAGACTCCGAGAAAATGTAAAAAGTATTCAAAATGCTAACAATTTGATGGCAAAGCATATAATAAGGCAATTTCCGTGTGGATATAACCGTAGAACTCTGGAGGCCACGGAGTTTCATATCTGGGCTGATGTGTTCCCACTGCTCTCTGCCATAATGTGAGCAGTGTGGTGAACTGCTTTTCTTCCTCTCTGTTTGCTCTCCATACATACGTTTATGTTCCCCTTGTGCATAAGAATAGACATTGTAGTGTTTTCAATCGTGCACAGTCAACCTGCAAACAAGGGGTCTTGCAAGTGTTTTGTTTGGGCTCTGCTTGCTGTAATTTATGCCTTATGAAATATTGAAAGAGCAGCTGCTGCTGGCTTCTGTAGTGTGTGTGTGTTTGGCTTGGTCGCATGTTTTGCTTGTAAATAACGTCTTTAATGATATAGCTTTAAAAACTGTTTAGAGACTTGCTGGCACAACCTTAAAGAGTTTAGGAAAAAAGTCCTCACATGAAGCTTTCCTTTGTTGCCAACTTGTTAAAGAAGCAGAGAGCATACTAAGCAGCCGGGGCTTGGAATATACTTCACATATCAAAACATTTGGTGGATCAAACACTTGATTTCCGTGCCAAAGTGGTTCTGCCACAGAATCATAGTGTCTCACTTTTACTCTGACTTTCTGATTCTTTGTTTGTTTCTCTTATCTTTAGCTCTGTCCTTACTCACCTCCCCCTCGCTTCTCTCTCCTCATCAAATGCCAGCGTAAGAAGCGGCACGAGCGTCTGAGTCATGACTAACCTTTTCACATCTCTCTCCCTCTGTGTGTCCCTCTATCTGCCCAGTATCCTGATCCAAGTGGGGTTGGCCTGGGCAAGACCCATGGCCTGCCAGAGGACCACTCTGCCTGTCTGTGTGCCAACGTCTGGGCGCTGGTTCCCGCCCTGGCCTTGGCTCTGGTCCTGGCCCAGCATGCCTTATAGAAGCGCCAGGAGGAGAGAAAAGAGGTCATCCACCCACAAGCTGATCCCAAAAGCAGAAGGTGTTATTTCGGAGACTGATATTAAGAAGGCTGAATCTCTCTGCGGTCGACGTAAAATGGCATTTATGAAAGAGGAGAAAAAAAATATTGAGATTTTACAATTGTGAATTTGTTGTTCATTTGATGTATTGTTAGGTCGGAACACGACTTTGATGGAGCACATGGCTTTTTAAAGAGTTCCCTTGGTAGGAGAGGCCATTGAAGGCCATTCTCCAGAAATGACTCTCTCTCAGACTAAGACACAAAATCCTGGAGGACTGAAGCTGATCATTTCAAAGACTTCTGCCCGTTTTCGCACCAAAAGAGGGGGAGAGGGAATGAACAACCTAATTAAAAGAAGACTGGATTGACAGAAAATAAATTGTTGCAGAGATAAAGGGAATGAGCAAGAGGTAAATGGGGTAGAGCGGTAGAGGGTGGGAGAGAGAAAGAAAGAGACATATTTCTGCTTTCAGTCACACTTTTTTTGTCTTGAATTGGTTCTCGACTTAATCTTCTCTTAGATGAACAGACCGCAAATCTAGGGGATGATTACATTCTGTCTCTTCAACACTACTGTAAACTCTAAACTGTAAAGCCTACTCAGTGTTATAAGTGTTGGTATAGTATCCGTGACCATAATCAAACTACCGTACAGATCTTTCATTTGGGTACGTTTTCAGCAGGTGGCGAAAAGAACTTAACGATGGTGACGTAGTTAACGGTCCTTTGGTCATTTGAGCTGTGTTTGTTAATGACTGTGGGTGTGCGCCAAACGTCCACCTGCACATGTGTATTTTTCTGTCTCTATGTATATATACAACTCTTTTCTTTCATTCAACCAAATGATGTATCTTGAATGGACTGTACTCTAAGATGACTCTGTACTGGGACTAATTGAAGGCCTTCATTATCTGCGTTTATATTTGTCTATAAAGGATTGATCACAAAGAATGTATACAGGGATGAGATTAAACAAGCTCAAACTGCTTGGAAAGCCATAACCCCGTGTGTGAGTATTATCACTGAGTATGTGTGGACAATTATTACAATGTGTGTGTGTCTATATTTCCATGCAGGAGAAAAGTAGCTTATTAGAAGCAGTTTAAATTGCCAGTGTGGGGGTTCGTCTGCCCCCTCAGAGAGCAGAGGTTATGATGCATCGTGTAATTAACCGCAAGCAAGACAGCCGATAGTTTTTTAGTGCTGCCTATGAACCAATGTTTTAACTCTATTGTTCAACTTTTCATAGATTATTTAAAAAAAAAAAAGGTCTTATATTTTAGGTCTTGAACTTCATCCGCATCCATACCCTTATCTTTTTACTGAAAAATATAGAACTTGTTAAAATATGTCCTTCTAGTTGTGGAACTACTGTAGTATCAACTTAAAGGATTGATCTGACATTTTCAAATGATTCCCTTGACAAAAGTACTCATATATTACTGGATATGAAGCTACCGCCATGCAGCTGTTTAGCAGATTATCTTAAGCCTGAAAACAGGGGAACAAGTATGTACAAACATTTACCCACAAGCTCCTCTAAAGCTGAATAATTCACACACGACATCTTGCTTTTTGTGTGAAGATTACACTTTATAATTTAGGAGGGGTTGTGCAAAGCTGACCAAATGTAGTTGTTATATTGCAAATCGGCAGTTTTATGCTAACTTTGGGCAAAACAAAGTACCTTTCAAGCACTTTAAATACTCAAAGGCCTCATACCTATGTAGATTGAACAAGTTATTGCTGTGATCATTTGTCCTGTTGATGGCATTCCTTCATACAGATGACTCTGATTTCGTCCCATATACGAGAAAGAGATATTCTCTTTGCCACAGTGAACGAAACCAATCGTTTTTTCCAATGTACACATGGTCATATTTAAATCTTTAAAACCCTTCTGACTGATTCATTTCACATGGGAACATTGGTAGCAAGATGCATTTTGAAATGTTTATCCATACATAATTTTTTCCCTTGCAGCGAATGAACTGTAACTGATGCACAATGAGTGTTTCCATGAAATGTGTATGTCTCCAGGCGACACATCCACTATAGTGTTTTACCGCGTACATGCATGCTCTGAATCAAAGAGCTTTATGTTCCCCATTGATTTGCAAAAAAAGTATACAATCTGTCATGGGAACAGACGTCAAATTAAACTTTGCTCAATATTTTATTGTTAACTGTGCTTGCACCGTACACAGTGTGGTCAGGTCTGGCAGGAATGACCTAAACGTGTGTGTTTACTGCTCTGGGCTTCTGAGAATATAACATGTCAAACACTGGGATATAATATGTATCATTTTTCAGCACAAATTCAACATGCAACGAATTTGTAAATAAATGTATTGGTGTAAAAAGTACAAAATTGGCTGCCAAAATGTAGTGGACTAGAAGTATGAAGTAGTATAAAAGGAAAATAGTCGGGTAAAGTACAAGTTCCTCAAATGTGTCCTTAAGTAAATGTATTAAGTTACTTTTCACCATGGCAAAAAATCCCACTTTTGTAGCATCCCTCAACATTACCAGCTATTTCAAAAGATGAAAGGATAAAGGATTTCTCTGCTATTGTTCCTGGCAATGCTGCAGTCCATTTGAATTAAAAATGTATCTTTGTGAATCTTTACAAGCTGTTCTAAATGAATCACAATCTATTAAATAATACACGTTTTCACAGATATAGTTATTTGAACATAAAACATTGGTTGGGTGTTCAAAACAGTCCAATTTAAACAAATCAATCAAACCATCAATCTAAAAACCCATCCGTAACATCAGAGGTAAAAGTCAGACTCTGTGTTTGAGAATCAAAAAAAGCAAAGGTGTCTGATCTTACATCAACATTTAACAATTTCAGAGACAGCAATCCATCAAAGTTGAAGCAGAGCTGCCCGTTTTCCCTCCAGAACAGCCTCTGAAGTCCAGAAGGCAACACAGTCATAACATAGTCTCACAGACATGGGTCCTCTTTGTAGGAAAACCTTATTCAAATTGTTTGCACACTGGAAAAAATGCTGCTCCAAAAACAAGTTAACAATAATGAAAACAAGGTGTTTTCACTTGGAATAAGTACAACAATCTGCCAATAGAACAAGTGAAAATCAGCTTGGTTAGATTTCTTGAAATAAGAAGGGATATTTAGATAAATCAGATCTTGTAATTAGCTGGGAGAACTCATTTTGAACTATATTTGACCAGAATCAGGAAATGTTGTGTTACAAAATAAGTCGCAAATGCTCAAAAGTGTTCTGTTTTCTGATGTTAGTTGGTGATTTTCTAATAAATATGTAAAAAAAGATCTGAGATACGACTCAAAATAAGATTTTTTGACTTAACAAGATGATGCATTGTCTAAAAACAAGACCCGATATCTCACTGCAGTGTTACTTCTGAGGTTGTAATGTCTTATAGCAAGTGCAAAGACATATTCTGACTAGAAGTTAGACAAATATACTTTTGAGTTTTTGCAGTGCATGCGTACATTTTCATAATAAATTACAAATATAGTGTATTTGAGCTTTTTATTGCAAGGTGTGTTTGTCCAGTTTGACACTTGGGCATTTCTTTACCTGCAGTAATTTACACCTCTATGTATTTTGCATTTTGCTGAATAATTTAGAGCTCAGCAGGGTCTACAGAAGGATTAGAACTGGGAGAAGGTAAAAACGCAGACAGACTGCAGCATTTGTGCGAGGATGATAACGGGACCTGGTGATGTTCTGTGAGGAGTCTCTGACTGACACTTCAGTTCAACCCGTCTGACAACATAAAATGTTTTTGGCTTTCACTTCATGCGTGTAACCAAATAGAGTTCTTCATGCCTCCGCAGTGTACCGTAAATGTAAATCACTGCATTTTGCCTGTTAGCAGTATTTTCTGTTTCATAAATGCAACATGAAAGTGAACTTCTGCCCATGCTGTGTATATTTTACAACCTCCTCCATCAGGAAATGTCGAGTTAAAAGGCTCTCTGGGCTTCCTGTTTACGCAGCTGTCACCAGGACAATGTACCTCCCTGCCTATTAATCAAACTTTGATTTGGTCAGGTTGTTGCTTACTTTTCAGAAAAATTGATGACACACGGTGAGTTATTATATAGTCAGCTCCTTATAAAGGCGATCAAAGATAAATTAAGGGTTTTGACATGCAAATAAACTGATCAAAATTCAAATCTACCCTCACTTCATTTCACCTTCCCTGGAGTGGGGCTGAGTTTTGGGTTGAAAAGACAGCCGATCAGCAGTTCTGACACAGTTTAAGGGAAAGTATATGCTGGAGACCTGCACAACACACTGCTCAATTTAGAAATATGTATCAGGAATTTGATAGCAGGTATTACCAGTGCAGGAGAGCAGCGATGGGACAGAGAAGAGGAAGAATAAAGTGGATGGTGTCAGCTCGGTTTTGATGTCGTTAAGCCAAAATGTGCGGTTATCTGTCTGCATGATCATAATTTAAGCTACCGAGACAGAAATATGAAGGACATGTGTCCGTATTAGAAAGTTCTGGGCTCCTCTTTGCCCCTGTGTGTGTTCACGCTTGTCTCTGTGTGTGAATGCACGCGTACACAAGGGTGTGAGTACAACATCTTGAAACAGAAAATGTGCTAGGAGAGCAATTTTCTCCTTTTTTTTTTCTTTCAAAAGGAAATCCTTGTGGAGTCCAGTTTGTTTCTTCTATTTACAGGCGGGTAGAAGTGGAGAAGAGGAGGTAGCGGAGGGGTTTTGGGGGCACGGGAATAAGAAAGAGGCAGGTAGCTGTACATTTCACAGTTGATTAATGAGTCAGTGGGATGATGTCTCTTATCAACACTCTGCACATGGCGCAGAGAGAAGAAAGGTTTACAGAGGCTAGGAATGCTCCAATCACATACCGCTCCCATTGCCGTCCCATCATTCCTTTCTGAGCTCACCCACCTGTTTTTGTTGGGCTCTCTTCTTCTCTCCTGCACAGTAGTTTGTTGCTGATGCAATTGGACCCTTTACCCTATGTTAGGTGCCATGCCAAATACATTTTTGTCTCAGAAATGAGTGATACATCTGCTACTGTGCGGTTCACAGTCTGTTTCACGCGCTGTGTTTGGAGATTACCACAGAAACTGATGTAAACGCTTGTAATGAGTTCTTAATGTGGCTTATGTCATCATGCAAAAGGAAAAGTATAGTAGGCTGCCTGCTGACAACTGAAAAAGAAAATCCTCCAGTAAAATATTGACTAATAGTTGTGGATGTGCTTGAAAATGTATCACTTTCACGCTTGACAGGACTGGATTTCTGATATAAACTCATGTTTATCAAGTTTGATACGCAGCCTGGATGTGATGATCCTTGATAAATATGTATGGCATGCACTAATGCTTTCAAATCCACTGCGATATGAGCTGAGAATGATAGTTATTTCAATGCCTGGGCAAAAGCCACAGCATGTATCCTCAGCACTGTAATCCACTGTGAACATATCTCAAAGGAGGATAAAATGAGAAATGAAAAGAGCATCAGAGGAATACATTCAAAGTAATAGACTGCTCATGATGTTGTGTGTAGTATATATACCCTTGTGAGATAAGAAATTACTTTAATGCCAGCGAGACACATTCAGATGTTTTTGTCACGATCTGTAAGCCAAACTAATTTCTTTCTGCTTTCATTTGTTCCACTAAAGGTGTTAATATTTTACTATAATGTGAGGCATCCTTCCTGGTTGCTCGACACACAATACGGTATTACCCAGGCAGTTTTAGGGAATTAAAGTGAATAAAGAGACAGGTGCAACACCAGTGAGTCACTAGATGGACTGCAGTGCTCACCTTATGTTGTAAAAGAAGACGTTGTGCTTTGTTTAGGTAATTTATAGAAGACAGAAAGGGATGGGAAACATAAAATAGATGCATGTGAAAGTGGAGATGTTGGATTTAAGCCCAGCACATCACAGTGACATGGCAATAATTAAGATTGCAGTTTCTTTTCTCTGAAGTTTGCATAATATTTAGCACTTACTG